ACCACCACTTGAGGCATCAACTAGTCTTCTTTCCATTGGCAACAATCCCTCATAGAAGTGTTGAATGAGGATTTGTTCCGGAATTTGGTGTTGTGGGCAACTATAGCACAAGTTGTTGAACCTCTCCCAATAATCATGAAAAGTCTCATTTTGACCTTGGCGGATTCCACAAATCTCATTTCTAAGACTTGAGACTCTCGAGGCGGGATAGAACTTATCAAGAAATGCTCTTGCCATGTCGTTCCATGAGTTGATTGACCCCGGTGGAAGATAAAATAACCAATCATTTGCTCTATCGGCCAAGGAAAAGGGGAATGCCCTTAATTTGATTTGGTCATCGGTTAACCCTTATGGCTTCATACTAGTGGAAATAATGTGGAACATCTTCAAATGCTTATGAGGGTCTTCATTCTCCAATCCATGAAAAGTTGGGAGGTGATGGACTAGACTTGACTTCAATTCCGAACCTCCTTCCAAAACCGGGTAATTGATACCGGTTGGAGTTTGTGTAACATCGGTTTCCAACATTTGCCTCAAAGTTCTTTCGGGAGATTCTCCTCCGTCCGCCATTGCGATTGGTTCAATAATGGGTGGATTTTGTTGTAGAGGTGGTGTTTCGGGAATTTCTTGACGAGGGTCGGGACTAGAATCGGGTTCCGTGTCACTTGATGAAGCGGTTTCAACCTCCGGATCCCTGTGAGGATTTGAAGTTTGACCATGTTCTATTCTCTTTTCCTTCGCCAACCATCTTGCTTCTTTTTCAATTTCAGGATTATAAATCAAAGCACCTGTACGTTGAGATTTGGGCATAGAGAAACAAATTGATTAAAAATAAACCAATCCTCGGCAACGGTGCCAAAATTTGGTGGTTGTCGAGGCCAACAAAAATAAATAACCCTAAATCTTTTACACTAAAATAGTGTATGGTGGTAAATGGGTCGATCCACGGATATTGGTTCAATTTATAACTCTATGGAAAATCTCTTTGCAAAAGTACTTGTAAAATGACAATAAAATAAAAATGGAGGTTTTGATCTTTTTGAAATACTTAAATTAAAACTAGAATTAAACTAGAACTTAAATGAACAATTTGGCAAAAATAAGAATTTGATGTGAAATCAATAAGAGAAAGATGGTTGACTTAAGGTTTCCTCACTTTGACTTTTGATGAACATATCATTAGAATCCAATGGTGCAATACTTGATTTAAACCCTTAATTTGGCTATAGTAATCCAAGGAGCTTGAGATTACCTAGACTTTTCTTAGTTGTTGAAATGGTTAGAGAAGCTCATAACAATTTCCTTAGTCAAAGTCACTAATTCCAATAAGCATGTAATTAGTGAAAGTCAACTAGCATTAAGAACCAAAAAGTCACCAAATCCAAGAGGAGTCAAAAGCTTCCACTACCATGTTGGAGAAAATGTTTTTATGATTGTGTGAAGTAAAACTAACACAAGAATCACTTGTTGCTTTCTAATATGAAGATCCTTTACTTAATCAAGAAATTATCCAACTAATCACCACAAACACATTTAAACTCATGAATAAAAACATACAAGCGATGATAAGATGTTAAAACACAAAACATTTTCATAAAGATTCAAACACAAATTCATGGATTCTTCAATATTCAACAAAAGTTCAAAGGATTCAACAAAAGTCAACCAAGATTTGTTTAGCCAAGCATGGCTAAACTCAAGAAAACAAAGTTAGATAAGATTATACCAAACATTTGACAATAATCAAGAGGAGAAAATGATGAAGTTCTTGAGGGTTCTTGGCCTTCAAAATGCTCCAAAACTCCAGAGAGAATGCCTCCAAATCGGATGTAAAAGATAAGGCTGAAGAGGCACACCAACCTTCCCAATATAGAGCTCCAAATGAAATCCCGAAATTGCCCCTGCAGGAACCCAGGCGGGCCGCGTGGATTCTTACGCGGGCCGCGTGACTATGACGGGGTTTTTGGGCTTCTTCAAGTTTTGGGCCCCCACAGCTATTTCATTGGCCCAGTTCGAGTCCGATCAGCTTCTAGCCTATTTTTCTTCAAGTTCTCTTCAATTTGAGCCCAATTTGACTTTTTTCAAATCCTCCAAAGCTCTTGTAATCGCCCGATGATCAGCCTCCGCACACTTCACCCCCTCCCCCCCCCCCCCCCCCCCCCCCCCCCCCCCCGCATCTTGCAAAATTAAAGTTTAATTCTTCCAAGCCTTCAAATAATTGACAAGCTCACTTCTTGCATCATCTCCATAGCCATCAAGCCCAAAGTCCCATTGCCCTTCTAATCAATCGCCTCCCAAAAATCCCGCTCCGCTAGTCTCCAAAAAATCTGCAATAATGCTCAAGAAACTAGAAAGTACCCGAAATGGTCATAAAATAACAAAAAGGAAAATATGCATGGGAATTAACTAAAATGCGAATGAAATGTGCTAAAATAAACTATGAAAAGAAGTAAATAAAATGAAGCTATCATACATATTGCACAATTCCAAAGATAATCCTTGAATTCCTTGCCCCTCCAGTTACGTTTCATGTTCTCATGAAGATGCCTTAGACAATATCTATGCTCTGTTGCTGGGAAAAGTTTTTCAAGTGCTGGCAATAACCCCTAAATCATCATAAAAGTGAAGTTGCTTATTGAATTGTTAAACATGCAAGTGAAAGTGAATGGAGAACTGGATTTACCTTCTGTCTGTCTGATATGAAGGTGAAGTTAGAGTTTACATACAAACCAATATCATCTCCCAAGTTAGTTCAAAACTAGGTCCATGAATTAAAGTTATCTGCTTCAACAACTGCATATGCCAAAGGGTATGTGCAATTGTTCCCATCTAAACCCTGAATTAATCATGTCAAACATAGTAATAAGCAAACATTTAACTATTGTCAAACATTAATGAACTACAAAAAAATGATTATGCACATACCAATGTTGTCAGAATCATACCATGGTATGGACCCTTCATGAATGCACCCTCAAGCCCTAGTAAATCTATTTTCCCTGCTGTAAATCCACTTTTCAGTGGACCAAGACAAATGTATACCCGTTCAAATACCCTGCTCTCAGATGCATAACATGGTTCATTTTGCACTTGAATTTTGACTGTGGTGTTTGGATTTCTAGTCTGCACCTCCTGTAAGTAATCTCTTAGACACGAGTACTGAGCAACAAAATTTCCCCTAATTGATTCTAGGGCTTTCGTTTTTGCCCTATGAACTTTCATGTCTGACAATCCAACTTGGTATTTCTTCTCAAGCATCTCACGTAATGCTCCAAGTGGTATTTCTGGGTTTGACTCCATTGTGTCAATAATCTGTTCAGAGAGAAACTTGTAGTTGCATGCCCTAATTTTCCTTGCCTGAAGACATGTATGTTGCCTTTCATACGACTTAACAGTCCAGTTAATGTCTTTTTCCACTTACTCACTAGTAGGACCCATGGGCATTTATGAATAGAACCATCTTTGACTTTCTTTTTCTTTTGAATTGGTCCCACTTTGTCATTACTTTTGCTGGTCCCACCTGTTTCTAATATCCCAAGGTTTAGTATAGTCCCTTTACAAACCACTCTAATCCTGCTTTTATCATTCTTGACCAAGTCTAACTCCCTTCTACAGGGGTTTACTCAATGTAACAGGGGGTTGTTCCAAGGTTGTTTCAGGTAATGTATTAGGGGGTTGGTCTATAGTTTCTACATTCTCAAAAATAGGGGCTTCTTCACTAGGACCATCCCCTGAATTTGACCATGTCAAGAACAACCTTTTACAACAAAGGGACTCAGGAATTTCGTGTATCTTTATCTTTTCCGGGTTCGGGGACATTTCATACGTATGCAGCTTGGTTTCCCTGTATAATTCTATCACGTTGTGTTCATAAATGTATGACCTAAAGTGGTTTATATCTTCTTCACAGCCCAAAGCATACAACCCAAAGTCTAAATCACAGGTTGTTCGTTTGAAATGGTAGTAAATACTTTTACCTGGTTCCATGCAATAAAGCAATTTCATCATCTCATTCATATCATGCACCGAGAACAAGGCACTATTAATGCCATCAATATATTTCATTTTCCCCTTGATGTATTTGCGGCCTGGAAACTTCGTAATAACTCCACCATAGTTCAATCGTATCGAGAACATTGATGGACTGTCAGCTGCAAAACCAAAAAAATAAATAATTAATTAAAATTTTTTACCTTTTAGGAACATATAATGGATGATCAACTGAGTATTGTAAAACATTTTACCGTATGAGCTTTGGAGATCGTAGCTCCCATTCTTGCCTAATCCTTCAGTTCACCATCGTAGAAAACTAGGGTTTTCTTGTGCAATGCAAAAGGTCGAAGGAGGATGAAATGAGAAATGATCGGTTCCGGAAGTCGCGCCATAATGGTTCATGTATACAAACCCTGAAAAGACAAAAATGTCCCTACGTGCAAGGCACATGGGGAGCTTAAACGGAAGCATTTAACGGTTAACGTCTATAACGACTAATCGTGCAAGAAAAATAAAAATCAGGGACTGCCCGAGTTAATTTTTGAAAATATGGACTAAACACGCTTTCTGGCATGTGCACGAGGGACCAATGGTGTAATTTACCCAAATATTAAAAATTAAAAGTTGAACAAAATCAAAAAAGAAAATGACATTATTTATATATCATCTCAATGGACGAGGCTTGTGTTAGATCACCTAACCAATGTTATTTTATTTTTGGATATGTTTAAGGAAAATCAAATATGTTAAAATATGTGTTATGTTTGTTAGATTGTTATTTTTAACAGTTTTAATAATAAGTTTCTTAATTTACTTTCTACCGTTAAAAAAACGTTTTTAAAGTTAAAGAGATTTAAATTGCAAATACAACGTTCTATCAAAAACATAAAAATAGAATGCAAAGCAATGAGCAATCGACTCTCACATATTATATAGTTTCAAATTTCAATATTCATTTTTTTATAATAATCTTTAAAAAGTGGTAAACTGTACCCCCCACCCCACCCCACAACACACACATATTTCAGTTTTCATTACCGGAATTGAAAGGGAGCGAAGCCACCGAACTTCTGCAAAACTTTTTTCTCACTCTTCTCAAAAAACAGGGTGTCAAAGCAAAGAGGTTGAAGAAATTAGTTAACAAAATGGGATTTTTACGCAGAAAATTAAAAAAAGTATTGTTGAAGAAGACGACCCTTTATCCACCATAGAAAGCAGTTACTTGAAGACAATCCCATTTCACCAAATCTGTCCTTAAACAAATCCTCCATTTTCAATGTCTCTATGTGTTTCTCATCATTATATCACCACCACCACCACCGTCTCTCTCTCGTATACCATCTCCTCCTCCCATGCATCCTCTTCGCCGGAAAGTCTCCCTATTCTCCTCCTACACCACCGCCATGAAACACCGCAAAAACAACAACCTCTCTGTCTTCGTCGTCGTCTTCTCTGTTTTCCTATTCGGATTCTTCATGTACAATGAAGACGTGAAATCCATAGCCGAATTCCCATTCTCCAGGCCCAAATTCGTAACCCACCAAAACGCTCTTCAGAAATCTAACGTTGATGGGGTGGTTGAGATCACTTCCAGGACGACTTTAGTGGTGGAGTCAAAAACAGAGGAGGATCAGGTGATTGAGTTGCCGGTTCCAGTGGCAGTTGCGGTGGATGAAGAACCGGAAGAAGATGAGGATATCGAATTGCCACCTGAAGAATGTGATCTGTATAATGGGAATTGGGTTTATGATGATTCAACACACCCACTATATATAGAAGATCAGTGTGAATTTCTTACTGCTCAGGTGACATGTATGAGAAACGGGAGAAAAGATTCGATGTATCAAAACTGGAGATGGCAACCCAAAGATTGCAACTTACCCAAGTAAGATCTTTGATTACTTATATCAAAAACCGTAAAAATTTGCAGGATTGATGTTGATAATCGTTTGTTAATGAAGGTTTAGGGCAAAATTATTGCTGGAAAAACTGAGGAACAAGAGGCTTATGTTCGTTGGCGATTCATTGAATAGAAATCAGTGGGAATCAATGGTGTGTTTGGCTCAATCCATTATTCCTCCTGGAAGAAAGAGCTTGAACAAAACCGGTTCTCTTTCCATTTTCAGAATTGAGGTCTCTTTCTTTTCATATTTTGTTTTCGCGTTTCTAAAAGTAATTATATGCATAATAGTCGTAATAAAATCGTAATAACTTTAATTTAACAGAAAAACATAGCATTAATACGGTATATTTATATTGTACCCGTGCACATTGATGCAAGGGTTATAACAAATATTATGATGGGCGACATAAGACATTAGTTTTATATGAAATAAAGCCTAAGGAAGAAACATGTGCTCATTTTCGAGGGTGTATGGCCAAAAACTAATACTAATATTTTACTTTAAGTAGTTTTTAAAAATTAATAAGTTGATGCTATTATATATATTATGCAGGATTATAATGCGACCGTGGAATTTTATTGGGCACCATTTTTGGTAGAGTCGAATTCGGATGATCCAAACATGCATAGTATATTGAACAGAATCATAATGCCCGGATCCATTAAAAAACATGGTAAAAACTGGAAAAATGTCGATTATTTGGTCTTCAACACCTACATTTGGTGGATGAACACCTTCTCCATGAAAGTCCTGTGAGTTTCTTATTAAATTCTTCATTTTTCATATAAATAATAAACTTATCGAAATTTTATATAAGTTTCTGATGAAAATTAATAATATAGGCGTGGATCTTTTGACAAAGGAGCAACAGAATACGATGAGGTTGAAAGACCTGTGGCATATGCAAGAGTGTTGAAGACATGGGCTAAATGGGTTGATAAAAATATCGATTCAAACCGTACAACGGTTTTTTTCAGTAGCATGTCTCCTCTACATATCAAGTAAAATTTCTACTTAATTTTCGTATATAAGAAAAGGCAATAATAATATAAATTTAAAGAATCCCAGTGTCTATAAAATACATGTATTAGGTGAAATAGATACATTTCAACTAACCAAAAGGATATTTGTTGGAAGTAGATGAGACTTTTAGGTAATGATCGGTTATCAAGTAAACCACTTAATTTATTAACTAAATATCTATTAATAGTAGAGCAAACATATAAAAAGTTATTACATAAGTTTTACAATAAATATCTAAGATTATCCAAAATACCTGTTTTAAATAATTAGTTTAATTATTGTTTGACAAAATATATGAGAATTAATGGGTTTTTAAATGAACCGGAATTTTGTAGGAGCTTGGACTGGAACAATCCTGATGGCATCAAATGCGCGAAGGAGACTAGTCCAATCCTTAACATGTCCATGCCCGTAGAGGTGGGCACTGACAGGCGACTCTTTAGGGTTGCAACAGATGTGATCGGATCAATGAAACTCCCGGTCCACTTTCTCAATATAACTTCTCTTTCAGAATACAGAAAAGATGCACACACTTCCGTGTACACTATTCGCCAAGGCAAGATGTTAACGGATGAGCAAAAGGCAGACCCGAATACTTATGCCGATTGTATACATTGGTGTCTTCCTGGGTTGCCTGACACGTGGAACGAATTTCTTTATACACGTATTATTTCTCGCTCTTGACTGATGAAGTGTCAACTCTGATCAATATGGTTTTATTTACTGTTCTTGTAGGAATTTAAAAAATGATATTTTCTTTCGCATACCTTGTACCTAAGGAGAGGACAAATTTTATATTCATGTATTTTATTTTATTTTTTGTTAAAAAAATTTTGTGTTAGACATTTGATAACAGATGCAAAATTGTCCTGAACGTACAATGAAATGTTGAAAGGTGGAATAAAAGAAAACGAGAATTGTAAGTAGGATTGTGTTAGGCCGGCTTTTAGTGTGCATCGGTTCAATCGCAAGTGGCTCATAAAAGTGTTCACGCACTTGTTATTTTAGATATTTCGTTTTAATTTTTTATATTATATGTGGATTTTTTTGTTTAATTATATAAAAACCAGTGACATATATGTCGCTCTTAATTTTTATACAAACGCCAAGAAAGAGGGCTACCAATCATGTTTCAAATGCGTGTCATTTGTTATAACAAATCTGATGTACCATTATATTCTTGGAATCAATTTTAAATTTACGATTTCTTAAACGAAAACTAATATATGAGCTTTAGCCGATGTTTGCAAAACTGAAAAACAAAATTAAAATTTGAAACCCGTGCAACATTTGTTACCTTTATATGATAATTAATTAATGTTGATGATCCATGTGTAAAGCGACGAATATCGATATCATCAAACAACGTTAAATCTATAATGATTTATGCTGTATATTTTGTCACTTAAAAAAATGTTTTGGGGCAATGAAAGTATAGATGTATCAAAATTTAAAGATATCGCGGCAACATTTGTGAGAGGTGGTTGTGTATCTTCATGCATAATCCATAGTTTTGTACGAGTTTTGCAACACAAAACTAGTACAATTATTAGGACTTCTAATAACTACTTGAAATATAGGAAATATATATACAATTACATCATTATGTAGTCAGCTTCCTAGGTTAATATTTAATTTACAAAATTTATAACGATTATAAAGAGAATATTTGACAATTGAACTTATTCTCCATATATTAATTAATTGGAGTACGAATCTAAAATCTACCTTTAAAAAGGAGAAACATTAGTATGAATGGAACGTGGCACCTCAGCAATGGCTCATCCCCACAATGACAGAGACAAATCAGGGCCGTTGGATCAAAACCCTAACCATTCTTCATCTATATATATATATATATATATATATATATATATATATATATATATATATATATATTATACATCCATGCATCATAGTTTCAATCGTTCATATACATGTACCTCTCTCTATCTATCTATCTTTTAAATGTTTATTTTTCATTGGTTTCTGTTTGTGGTCTCATCGATCTGAATTCAATTCAAGTTTGTTGTTTTGTTGTTGAGGGACGTTGAAGCTTCCATGTCTTGTTGGTGGGGATGAAATATTCAGTTCCCCAGCAATTCGTAAGCAGAAGCCAAATACAAATTTCAAATCTCGTTTGCTTATTTTGCTTTGCCAAATGCCAACTTCTCATGCATGGCATGGCATGTTCAAGCGGATTGAAAACATTATATTTTGTGCATGATGATTTTATCATAATATATTTTAAAACTCAACTGAGTAATAACTGATTGATATGTTGATATACTTTTTCGTACTTCATTTTTCATTTTTTGGGAAAACAATGTTTGTTGGTTTCAGAAAAAAAAATATAGAAATTAGATGATATTGGAATTAGTATTCAAACACTTGTTTTTGGAAAGGAAAGGGAATAATAAAAGTAAGTATAGAGCATATATATATGTTCCACCTTTCTAGCTAAGAGAATATATAAAATGACCTTAATTAGTTATTGTAAAATGCAAGTGATTTAACACATTGATCCATCTGATTAATATAAATTATGAAATCTAGCAAGGAGGACAAGCATAATATAAATTATGCAGCATATTAAGAAATTTGTATCATGATAACAGATTTTTTTTTAAAGACAGATTTAAAAGTTAATATCAAATTTGTATTAATGTAAAAATATATCTCCCAAACATAAAATTCTTTAAGTTTAATTTTGAAAGAAAAAAAAAAGAAAAAAAAAACTAACTTTTACAAACATGACAACATGTTACGTAAGTAGTGAATAAATGCAAATTTCGAGTTAATGAATTCATAAGGTATATGTAAAATAATAAGTCTTAAGTAACAGAATGAGACAAGGAACTTAATTTGTTGCTTTTCATCAAGTTCAATATATATATATATATATATATATATATATATATATATATATATATATATATATATATATATATATATATATATATATATATATAGAGGTTGAGATTCAATAGAGAACCATAACCAACCAATAAACCAATCGTGAGCGTCGGAAATCATAACGATCAACGGCCAACGAAATAGATGTATACTTTTACATTGGACGCACACACACCGGATTATACCCAAAAATTCACCCTTTACAAAAAAACTCACCACTTTTTTTCGTTTAAAATTTTTTTTAAGCCATGTTTTTTATTGGAAAAAAAACCGAATATACCGTTGTTCACGATTTTTCGTCCTCTTTCCATAGAGATTCATGATGATATATAAAAAACGAACTTTTTTTTTTCGAAAAAAACTCACTTCATTTTCTTTGATGAAAAAAATTAAGGTCTATTTTTTTATAGAAAAAAAATTAATAAATATATCAAAATTCATATTTTTTGTACTTTTTAATATAGATTCATATTCATGTTAAAAAAAAAACAATATTTTAGTTCAGATTCACATTGTGAACCTGTGTCAGATTCATATTATAAACTTGTTTAGATTCACATTGTGAACCTCCTCAGATTCACAATGTGCATAATAATAAGTCAGATTCACAGTGTGAATCTGAACTGATCGGAGCTTTTTCACATTGTGAATATTAAAATTTGAAATATTTACAGTTTAGATTCACTGTGTGAATCTATACTGATCGAGGTTTTTTTTTTGTGAACCTTCTCAGATTCACAGTGTGCATAATAGTAATTCAGATTCACAATGTGAATCTTAAATGTTCGAGATGTTTCATATTGTAAATGTTAAAAATTGAAATATTTACAGTTTAGATTCACAGTGTGAATCTACACTGTTCGAGGTTTTTTTTTTTAATCGGTGTTGATGTTTATTAATAGAGTACAAAAAAATAATATTTTTGGTATAATTAGTTTTTTTTTTATAAAAATAAACTTAAATATTGAAAAAATTAAGAAAATTAAGTGGGTTTTTTTCGAAAAAAAAAAGTTCGTTTTTTATATATCATCATGAATCTCTATGGAAAGAGGACGGAAAATCGTGAACAACGGTATATTCGGTTTTTTTTTTCGATAAAAAACTTGGCCCAAAAAAAATTTAAAATGAAAAAAAGGAAGTGGGTTTTGTTTATAATCCGGTACATGTGCGTTCATTATAAAAGTTTACAACCCTTCAGTTTGCCGTTGATCGCTTTAAATTCTGACGCTTTGGATTGGTTCCTTGATTAATAATGGTTCTCTATTGAACTTTTCTATATATATATATATATATATATATATATATATATATATATATATATATATATATATATATATATATATATATATATATATATATATATAAAAGGAATTAACAAGATGCTTCTTATCAAAAGGATGTTGTCGTCAACTTTCATTAATTTTCAAAATACTAAAACCTACAAATGTCTTAACAAAAATTCACCATTAAAAGCATATGTTACCTGTTATAACTTATGGTCTGCATGCATGATCATATGTTACTTAAACAAGCTAGATGCAAAATGAATCATTAATACAAATAAGCCATCCAAAAGTTTCGAATAATACACAAAATAAATGTTTATGAAAAATACTTTTAAAGAGTGTTTAAATGCAAAAGCACTAATAATAGGATGAAGATCCACCCACATATAACACATGTAAAGTTGCTCTATTGATATTGATGACCTCAAAAGGATTTTACTAATTTTAGTTTTCAAAAACTTCTTCACACTCATGTTATATATGTACATGGATCACATTTTCTATTCTCACCTTCGCTTTTAAGGGACTTGACAACGTCCACTATACCAACGGCTCCACTATCGAGTCTCACTAGTTTTACGGCGATACCCAATTCCCCCCCCAACTCTTTAATTTAATAAACAACCATGTAAAATACATTGTTTTTATTACTTATTCATATTCTAAATTTTCACAAATAATAATATTGATTGATTTTGATACTCCAAGGTACGTAACAATAAAAGTTTTGGAATTTAGTCTCAAAAAATAAATACAGTTAGTAAAAATCGAATACGAAATTTAGAACATGTACTTTTTAAAAGGAAAAAGGGGAATAATAAAAGTAAAATAGAGCATTTTTCCACCAATGGGCTTTGCAAGCGTTAACAACACAAAAGACAACCATATAGTAACCTCTCTTTTAAGAGAATAGATTGACCAACTTTTTTTTGGGTATCTTTGTGAAAATTAGCTGAAAGTGGAAGTAGCTTTTATTAGGACTATTCAGAAAAAGTTGTCTTAAGTTTTGAAATTGAGATTTTAAACCCAATAGCATTGTATAGGATTTAGAATGTAAACATATCAAAGTAAATTTAAAAGAAAATCGTATATACTATATATACATCTAAAACTATGGTCACTAGAGTAGTTCACTTATACACACAACACCTTTTAAAAATAATTAAACTCAGTAGGTTCATCATCTATCATAGAGCATAAATTAGTTCACTTATACAAAAGAGTGTGCAACTATGACAGCTCAAATTAAGATGTTCCATGTGACAATGATACAACATGCATATTATAATTAGGTAGCTAGGTTCATCATCTATCAGACAGCATAAATTTATGGATTTCATTAATGGCATTGATATGGGTACCTGGAAATAATAAACGTAATAATGGAATTGTAGAGGGCGTCTGTGTCTGTGTCTGTGTCTGTGTCTGTGTCTGTGTCTGTGTCTGTACGGACTTTAATTTCTTGATACCTGCTTGGATTAGTGAGGGTGGTGGCACGTTGTACCACTGGAGATACCATGAAACAAGTGTTGAGATGTTATCATCCTGTGACCATTTCCCTGTTCTAAAGTAATCATTGAGTATTATGTTGCTTCTTAAGCATGGGGAATGTGCTAGAAGCTCTTGTACACGTTTGTTAAGGGAACCTAGAAATGTCGATTGGACAATACTACCCCTTGAACTCATGAATCTTCCCTTCAACAGAGCATCATTGTACGCTAGTGCAAGCTGAATTTAATGCACAAAAACCTTCATTTAACTTGAAAGAAAAAACAAAAAGAGAGATTTATCTATTATTTATTACCTTCAAACTGGTGAGAAACTGAGAATCGTTTAGAAGCGGTGGTATGCCACTTGTAACTTCATCTGCCATAGATGCAACGGTTGTGTACAATGACAAGTAGACCTGTAAAAGTGCTGGCCTGTCTTTACTCACACACTCAAACAGCACTTGCAAGCAAAACTCTTGGAAATCAGTATCCGATCTGCAAAAATCATGGTTTTTTTATTTATTTATTTATTTGTTGAGAATATGTGAAAGAAAATGCAAGGGGTATATTACGTACTTGATGTTCCATGAATGATCAGAGCAGAGAGCACCAAAAGCAATCAAGCTTGGATCCGATGAGAAGGTACTCACCAACTGATTAACACTTACTGCAGCTTCATCATCATCATTATTACTGCTACTACAGCCTCTCAAGCTCCCCAAACCAAACACCTGTTTTATTATGCAAATTTAGTTTTAGTGAAAAAAAAAAAAACATAATGTTTGAATTAATTAATGTTAGTAGACCACTAGACCTTGTGCATTGCTCTTGAAAGCAGGGACTGGCGTCCTATGGGGTCATCCACATAGGAACAAGCTCCAACTTTACGTTTGATATACAGGATGCCCGAATTAAATGGATCCTTCTTCTCCCCACCATTCCACCAAGGTTTCTCTGTAAAACAATAAATAGATAAACAAGCCATAAAATACAAATCATCATGTATAAACTGTTAACATGAAGTTGAACTGAAGGTATGCATATCCACCTTCAGGATTAAGCTCAATTACTTGAGGCCAGTAACGAGGACCACAAACTCGAACCGTTTTTAACTGCAACAGTAGTATATCAGTATCAGAAAACCGAATAAAATGCAAGTCACATGTTTTTAGTATGGGAATTAAAAAAAATAAAAAGGAAACTTACAAGAGCACGCTCGGGCAGAATGCAAGGAGTGACCTCACAAAAACTTGTTTCTGCATAATGATCGGTTTCTTTGACAGTGACTTCAAGAGGAGCATAAACAGGTAGGCCTGAGTCCACGTCAACCGTTTGAACCCAACGAGCTTCCGTAGCAATCACATATAAGTGTCGAAATGCCTGTAATAATTTGTAAATTAAATAATTATTTTACACAGTTATCCATAAGCAAATGACAGGAACAAACAGGACTAACCCAAATTATAGGCAGCTCCAGTTCTCAAATAGCATTGTGTGTGTGTGTGTGTGTGTGTGAGAGAGAGAGAGAGAGAGAGAGAGAGAAGGGGAAAGAACCTGAAGGTGACAGCGATTGTCATTTGGTCCAGTAGGTAAGCGTGGATAAAGGGTTATCAACAATGCAGCAATAGAGCTGTTGCTAGTTGAGAAAGTCCTCATTCCACCACCAAGGAACAAGAAACCAATAGCTAAGCTCACCTGAAAGGAATACATGCATAATTTTTTCAATTACAGAAATTAAGATAATAATGAAAATACAATGGTGTAAAGAAGAAAATGGAAGCAAGATGCTAATACAAATAAATAAAAATATATTGTCATTTCGTGCATTTAAACCTTAAATCTAAATCACATGTGAGATGTGACATCATACGGTCTGAGCTGCATAACTGCTCAGAGAGAGAGAGAGAGAGAGAGAGAGAGAGAGAGAGCTTACAGCCATTTGAGTACCATAGTTGACATGTCCATCAGCTGAATTTCTACACCGTAGAAATCTCAACAATCTAAAAGTCTGCAGGTGCCCGGAACCAGCCATAACCTGATACCCCGACAACTCAGATACTTGGGTCTCGAATTTAGTATCAATTAAAAACACATGATACAAGGAAGCAGATTGCACTTACCACAGACAAGGAAAGAGCAATGAGGTGTAGGCATGTCTCTAATGTACCCCTATCAACATATTGAGACAATCCTCTTGGAAATCCAGGCAGAATTTTGACAGGTAGAGCCTTTATCTGCAATATAGATAAGAATAAGCTGAAACTAACAGAAAGAGTGTCAAAGAATATGAATTTTTGCACTAGGAACAATGGACCAAACCTCATTGAGGAAGGCAACAGCATAACTATAAAGCAAGTCCTGGGCATTTCCGTCTTTTGTACCAGCAAATCTCAACCCTGGCAACGTTAATGGTGATTACATTTAATCCAAATAAATAATAAATTAAACAGCTGTTCAATTTAAAGGATCACATACCAAGTGAAATACATGCACCAGCAATAATATTCACATACGCCTTAACAACTGCTTCACTGTCCATTTCCATCTCATCTGTGAGACCTTTGATGCCATTCAAGACAACTTTGGGTATCTGACCCTGAATCCAATCTTCTGATGGATGAATCCTAAAAACACATGCAAGGTGTTTAAAGAGATCTCTTACTTTTTTATGTATAGCCAGCAGGAACATTAATGTAGCATATGAATTTTAAATAGTAGTACCTGCTCCACATTATCAAATTACGCGAAATGACACGGAGCATTATGAAGTCGGGCCTCACATATTGCAATTCGAAATGTGTTTGTGGGATACAAAGCCTGGATAGAATCGCTTGCGATTCAGTCTGTCATCAGAATATTTTTTCAAAGTTGTAAATCTTGAGAACAAAGCTGACATAAAATCATAAACAAAAATATATAGTCATCCTTCCTGCCAAAGAGTTACCTTTAAGTACATTAGGCCCAAAGCAATTATAGCTCCAGGTGCAGTTACATCTATATTGATCTGGGTTCCATCCATCATCTGCAAGCAACAGAAAACAAAAACAGAAAATTAATGAAAAGAGAGAAAGAGTAATCAATTTTCTAAAAAAAAAAAACAAGTAAAAAGCACAACCTGCCCAGAACCACGATTGTGGTCATCCATTGATCCGTTGGAGAGATGGGATCTTTCCTGAGAAAAGCCAATTTAATAAATAAAAAAAAGTCATCTACATGAAATATTAATTCTAGACATCTTCAAAATGTAGTGAAATGAGTACTGATGATTGAAATCTTGTAGAATAAATGTGATGAACATATTCAAAGAGCAAGTACATGGTGAAACTCTTTGCTGCCCGCATACTGGAACAACCGTCCAACTAATGTATCCATGAAACCAGTCGCATCTAGGCCACGCCCTTCAGTTAAAGAGAACAAAATTAAGAAACAAGTCCAACTTCAAGAATGTGTGATTGATAAAACAACATACCCAAAGCAACAAGACCCAAGGAAAATCCAGCAGATACAGCGTATCCTTCCCTTTCAAGTACATTATCTCCTCCACTTCTACGCCCTATCTCACCCTGTAAAAGTTTATAAACTAAAGAGTAAAGAGCTAGCAGAAAAAACTGAATAATGCAATCATGTATTAAAATAACAGGTAACAGACATTACAAGTGGGAACAGTAAAGACATGGAAACTCACCAGAAGAATTTGCATTGTTTGAGGGTGTGCAGATCCTTCGTAAAGAAGCCCAACTGAGACAAGCGCTGCTGACTGAAAATTGGTGAAATAAACAATATATTCAAACTACTATATTCTAAGTATCTAGACATGAAAAGGAATAAGGTTGAAAAAACATGGATACAATTTGAAAACAATATTAGAATGTGACTATCATATGTGTGGTAGTGTAGGTTTCATGAGATGCCCTAGCTAAATAGTCATGAATGTTATATATGTAATAAAACCCATGTATAACTGTCCCATTTAAAGGGAGGGTGGCTTATTTTTTAAGTTGGAAGTATATATTACACGAGTATTGATAGCAATATGGTTATGCATTACCTGAAGAAGGGTTGGTAATTCCAGTTCCGGAAAGGAAGATGAATGGCGAGCTGGAATGTGTACATATAGAGACTGCAAAAGAATAATGGTTTTGGTGGATTTTAAAGCATCAGCAACATGTCTGAATGCAAAAGCAAATGTATATAGAAGCTAAACCAAAGTGCTTGAGTTCTGATTAGTGGCTCCCAGAATTCATCAAGAAAATTAGAAAAGTATTTCTTCTTAAAATGACCAGCTACAATTAGGCCAATGACCAAAAAAAATGATAGAAAACTAGCATCAACAATACAGAAATGTAGGTGATACAAGAAAAAAGATCTGAAAATTTGGTTTTCTTACTAGTGACAAAACAATATATTTCTGCATAGAAAATAGATCAAGCTAAAAATAGGCTAGAGGCTAACAAAATACTAGCATTAAAATTAAAGAAAAATTGGGAATATAAATTTTAATATGTAAAAAAAATGGTACAAAAATCACATGACTAACCTTTGATATTGCCGGCTGCATTGTTCCTCTATAAGATGCAGCAAGTCCAAGCATTAGTCCTGCTGTAGTGCTTTCATGTTCCTAAAAAGATGAAAACATTATATTTGCAGAGTATATCACTGGTAATTTTCTATTCAACTCCAGAAATGGTAAGTACTGAAGGATAGCTTTGTGTAATGAAATGTAGCTTATATCAGCATACAATCAACTTTGGTTTCAAAAAAAACTCTCAACAATACAGATGAAATGAACATGGAAAAAGAGATCCAAGAATTTTCAAGTGACCCCGTTCAAATACTCATTAAAATCTCTAAAATAACTACCTAATACATTTGAACATCCAAACTGGTAAAAATGAAATGGAAATTGATGCTACAAAAAAGGATATAAACAAGTAGATAATAATGATAGCATCATACCTGTGAATAATACTGATATATATCAGTTATATTCAGAACATCCAAGTGACCATGCAAACCCAGAGCAAGTAAAAGACCTGCATGGGTAACATTTGGTTCCTCGGGTTTGTTGTAGACGATCCAAGTCCTTGACATTTTACCCTGAAAGGATAATGCATGATTACTACAATCCAGAAGCAAGACAAGGCACGCTCAAATGCAAAGATTGGATCAAATGGGCCAACAAAATAAATCATGGGAACTTGGCATGCCAGCAGAAAAAAACCCTCTCAGATTTTGTGGGAATAATCAACAATATAGTTATTTTCACATACATGGAGAAGAATTAAGCTGTGTACATTATTTTCAGAAGAAACAACAAACCTGGAGAGGTGCCATCCGTAGGCCAGCAGCTACAGCATTGTGAAACTCAGGCCAGGATTTAAGTTCTTGTATATTCCTTATATTCGGATCCAAGTTAACCTATGAAGCATGAAAAGAGTAAGATTTAATTAATGTACAAATAAATATTCCCTTTTTTCACGAAACAATAAGCATGACTTCCAAAGTCTTGATCCAAAAATATAGGTAGCTTACAACAATATGCCTATAAAAGTCGTGTTCTTTTTTTTTCTCCTTTACAGTGTTTCCCAGGCATGCACGACATAAACCTAAGTTGGTACTTGGTATAGCCATTGGAACAAAAAGTATCTAAAAGAATTGAATGTTAAAGTTGAAATTGAAACCCTGATACTGGATCTCGGGAAGCAACAAAACAAAGCTTCAGTGGTACACCTATCTACTAGTTTCTCAGTTCATGTGGTCTCAAAGCTGTTGGAAAACATTGAAATAAATAAAGAAAGAAAGAGTTGTAACAAACATACAGTAGCATTTTGTTGGGCAGGCAATCGACCTGCTAATATCAATTTAGGGACAGGAAGCGCCTGCAGAAAATTTCAAAGGAGGTTGTTAAACTATCTCTTTTAGGTACACAGTAATAAAGAGGCAAAAAAAAAAAACCATAATCACAAAGGGTCTCACCTCTGTCAACAAAGTACATGTGGTTGAAAGGGTAAATGCACCACGACCAACAGGAAGAGCAGTTGTCCTTTGTGCAAGCTGCCATAACTGAGCCTGCACAACAAGAACAGAAGAAGACAGACAGCTGTCATCGCTAGATATTTTTCTACTCTTTTAAGAGATAAGAGGAAAAGACAAAAATTACCTGTTGAAGATCTTGATCAGATGCGGTAGGGTTAACTGGTGTTTGAATAGCCACAGGTTTTGCAGAGCATAGAAGCCGTCTAACCTGCCAACATATGTTCAAGAATGAAGCAAAACACGTAAAGGATGGCATACCGATTTAGAAGCAACAGCATGCATAAGAATGTTATACCAACATCGAATCAAAAAGAGGGTGAAATATTCTACAAAAAAAAAAAGCTAAAACAAACCTCATTCAGTCGTAGATCACGACCATACCGCAACTGTGTGCTGGAGTTGAAAATATGCTCCATGCCATCAATTGTAGATCCATCCACAGAATCTGTATCCTCAAGTTTGGAATTATCCAATCCAGTTGCATCACTAATTGAAGAAGGAATGGTAACTGGACGTAGATGAAGCATGTAAGGTGTAGACATGGAAACAGAAGTCACATTGTTGGAGGAATTAATTTCTGTGAACTTATTCGAGTGTGCTAAACAAGACAAAGAGAGGTCTTCCCTCCCAAGAAGAACATAAGCAGAAGCAGGCCAATCAGTAGGTGGACTTTCCCGACACTTGTCCAGTACCTATAAGTTGTGTAGATAATAACATCAAGTTATTTGGACAAATAAAGATAATACAAAATTCAAAACATAACTTACATGTCTCAAGGGAAGCGATACACCAGCAGGCAGCAAGTCTAGTTGTTGCAATCCAAATCTTTCTCCAACCATTGCCAGTACAGTTAGTTCCTCGGGAGAAGAAGCTGATCCAGTAGCAAACTTACAATAAACATCAGATGACAGTTTGTTCCCTTCAATTTTTCCACCACATAACACGCTATAAAATGAAACTATCTTCCTGGCCCAACTCACAACAGAACTTCCATCTTTACGCATCAGATCTGGAAGATCAGCACTGCTGGTGGATGTACAACCATGTCGCAAGCAGTTCTCTAGCCACCTAAACAAACTGGGAGGAGTTCTTTGAGATAGTGAAGTTTGGTGAAAAGAGTACTTTCTTGAAAGAGTAGGAAAGTCGCGTATATAATAGTCCAGGTAACCGGATTTCCCCAAAAACTTTGAAACTTCACATAACAGAGCAACAAGAAGCCCTAGATCCCTGAAATACCATGGATACACGGGATAACTTCCCTGCATCATTTGGAAGAGAGGAAATAACAAAACGAAAATGAAAAGTGTACCTTTTTCGAAGATGATTAAGTTTCAGACTTTCATACACTGCATGTAGTAAATCAAGAATCTCTAATAAAGATTCAACTGTGTGGGAAGTATCCAGGTGTTGAGAAGCAGTACATGATTGATCACTTTGAAGTGATATTCTACGAGAAAATCCACTCATGAAATGAGATTTGGAATATTTCTCGTGAAAGCTGCTGTTGACAAGAAACTCCCATGATGAAGCTGAATGTATCTGAGGATTTTTTCTATCTTTCCCAAAAATGTCTAATATGATAGCGCAGAAAGACTCCCATTCGGTATCAACAGGAGAATCCACCTTAGATAGATAAGCTGAATCACCATTGCCCCAAAGAAGACCCACAAAATGATTATATAAATTAGCTTCAAGTCCCTCGGCCATTGCTGTGATGCAATCATTTGCCAATGATGATGAAGGGTATCTACGAAATGTACATCTGAGCATCTGTAATAAAAAAAATGGAAAAAAAATGTAAAAGTTAACAAAAGAAAGGAGTTTAACAAGTGAGAACATATATGCATGTGAGTTGATATCAAACCTGCCCATTATTTACAATGACATTGATTCTCCCTTCAACAGCATCAGCCAATCCAACAACTTTTACATCTTGGAAAGCAGTTGGTGCTTCCAGTGGCTTGACATTGTGTGAAACACCACCATGGTCTTGAAAAGAAGGAAGGACATATCTACACAAGCATTGCTTCCCTGACTAATTAAGTAAAGATCATATAAGTTCACTATAAAATGTTAAGCACTTGGAGACACCAAAAAACAAACGTTTCTTTGAGCTTTTTCTTTTACTTGTATACGCACACAAATATGATATATATATATATATATATATATATATATACACACACACACACACACATACATATACATGTATATGTGTGTGTATACTGTTAACAAAGTTATTGATCATAACAACTGGATGGCAAGAGCAACAAACTTAACCAGCTTACATAAAGTACAAGAGTGTTTTCAGGAGCCAAAACAATGATATCTCGATAGGGCAGCTGTCCAACTTTAACTCTGGAAAAAATAATAAAAAAGAGTGAAACAAGGTTTATACAACACTATCAAGTTACCAAACAATAACCAACTACAGCAATCATTAAACAAAAGCAACGATGGGCATCCCCTACCTTGGGCGAGTTACAACAACAGGTGCTGCTGCAATAGCTGGTATGCTCCAGCTCATGTCGGGTCTAATATCATAAAGGATCTCACTGTTGAGTTCAACGCACTGAAGCCTCACCGCTAATAACTTCTTTTGTTCTTGAAGAAGGAAACAAATAATGGGAGTGGCATCATTATCTGTTGCCAAAAAAACCTGTATAAAATCATTTCAAAGAAATAAATTACGAGACAAAATTAAAACGGCTAAACACTAATGTGGATCAGTTGAAAGCAAAACAAAGAGTGTTGGTATTCATATATCTTTTCATCTGCAAAACAGTCCACGAATATGAAAACCCAAGTTCATGAAAATTCAAGGCCCTTAAGTTTAATAGAAAGTTACACTCGTAAACTGGCTTGTTTGGAAAGCATACAGAAGCATTTACATACAGTAAAGGAATTCATTTATCCAATGAGTAACGATAAGGAGTAAAGAAAATAGGATTAATGATATAGTAGACATAATCGTATGCATTTATTGGTTGATTTTCGCTAGGTAAATAGTTTATTAATGTCAGACGAATTAAAAATAACCAAGATAAACCAAATCATGCCATTCCAATAGAAAATAAGGTTTCAATCACAAGTAGTAGTGAAAAAACAATATAAACCACTAGCATGCCTTCCTCACTCCTTACTTTGTTTATTTTCCCTCAATCACTCTATATTTTATTGTTAAATAATAATGTAATGTCGATTTTAACTTATAAATACATGAGAATGCATTACATAGAGGGATTGATGATGGCAAAACATCAAGTCCGGTCCATGATTAAAGTTAAAAGACATCATATAAATGCATATGAAATGTGTCACCTCACTTGCAGCTGTTTGTGCACCTTTCCCTTGCCATATTCTTCGAAAAAAGAACTTCTTAGATAACATTACATCAGGAAGTACAGAATCCACAGCTTCAAGGTTGGAATTCATAACTTCTGCAGTCCATAGCGAATGTTGCATCTTTCCTGAAAGAAAACCATATCCAATGCATGTGAGAATAAAACTCAAATTAGCTTCTCTAGGCTACTATGCTTGAATATAAAAGGATAAGCAAAGAGGACAGAATGAGAAAACCTTTATGATACGATGCCATAAGCGGAATAAGATCACTAGTCCATATTGTCTTCTCATCATATTCCTTCATGGTGTTTAACTTCCCTCTTTCCTCAATATGGATTGGCTAGCCACAAAATAGTATAGAATTAACAAGAAGAAGATTGAACATTCAAATATGCATGCCTAATGCAGCTATTTAAGCAAATGAGAAAAGAAACAAGAGTGAAAAAGACTTGAAATAATCCATCTTCATCTGTTAAAAAGGAGAAGTGTTTACAGACCTGTGGTTCTTCCAGCGGATCCTTTAAAATCAGATGTGAAGACATGGAAGCTCTATCTACCTTAATCATATGATCCCATGAACTTCTTAAATTAAAAGTTTGTTGAGGACTGTAACCCATATCTTTTTTTGAGCGAGGTATATCAAGGGCAGTTAGTAATGGACTTGAAGATGAAAAAAGAGAATGTGTTGATGAATTTGATTCATTTGTCTGTTGGAGAAGTAGACCAGATGGAAGAGGCCATATTGATGCAACAGCACGAGGAAGAGGAATAGATACCGCATCACCTGCCAAAAAGAGCATCATCCTTTAAAATGGAAATAAATGTCCACTTCTATTCGATTGCATGGCTAATGTAAGATTCTTAAAATAATAATCAGTAGATCCAAGCTATAACAGAATACACTGTTTTAAGTCGGTAACTAGCCAAAATGCTGCTTAAATCAATTGCATTGTATTATAAAAATGTAAAAAACAAAGAAGGCAAAACCAATTGAAAGAAGACATTAACCTGCTCTATTTATGCTTCATAATAACTGTAACTTTAATTTATTGATAGAACTTCTACAGAAGGAACTGAAAGATCTACAAACCTGATGTGCTATAGACTGTCAAGCTATCCACATGTAGAACACAAAGACGAGCTTCAGACAGATCTCCCATACGACACCAGCAGGCCTAAACATCAACAAGAATGAAGGTAACCCTTTTCATCTTAAAAATAAATGAATTAAGAGCAATGCATAAGGAGCAACATAGCCAAAGCAATGTCAGGAGATCACTTGCTACCAATGTTGCAAAAACCGAGGCAGCACTAGGTCGACCGACTAAGGACTAGAGATTAGCCAACCTAGTCGGGACCCTAAATGGTAAATCAATTAATTTTTTTTTTAAATATGACTAATATAAAAACAAAATAGGTAATTATGACTGATATCATAAGAAAATATGTATATATGGATAGTACAACATTGCATTTTCCTCAGAACGTGTCTATCTATCTAAAACTTCTTCGAGATGTTGGAACTTCATCGGCTCATACAGCTTCACTATATGCCTAGGTGGGGATTAAGTGCCTGGGGACTAATCAAAGACTAGTTGGGGGCTAGTCGGGAATTTTACAACACTGCTTGCTACATCAATCACATTGAGCTAAAAAAGCAAAAAAAAAAATATATATATATATATATATATATACCATAATAACTGGCCCCGGTAAGGTGAATCTCTTGTACACTCTTGCTCCTACTGTCCATATTATCCTGCTAGCAAAAAAAACAATGGTGAAAAAGATGGTCTCTCTAACACAATAATGCCACCAAGCCAGTTTTGAATATCCTTACTTGACCCACAAGAGAGAGAGAGAGAGAGAGAGAGAGATACAATAAATAACAAGCCATAAACTCGGCCAAGGCCAAAGAATTCAGAGTCTTAGCTCCCAACAGCATAGTCTTAGGATCCCGCTAGATTAGATAAGTTCAATAAATAAACATATTTTTCCCTTTTGTTGAATTGTTGTACTAATCATTTGCACTCCAAGAGCTTATAGAGTGGTGCTTAACTCAATCATCTACCTTATTGGATTGTTGTAATTTACTGAGACTATTATTCTCTGTCAGTAATGTTGTGCAAACTTCACAAATAGAATAGTTTGAAAACTTGAGCTAATAGGTGTTGAATATACATACATACATGTTGGTCAAACATACATATCAATATATGTATGTATGCTGTGCACCTGTATGTATGCATGTAAGAAAGTTTACACTTTAGTAGATGGTTGATGTAATAAAAAAACGCATCTCTAGCTATGTGCCCAGCTGTTGAATTTATGCATCATGTGCAAAGAAACAACAATGTAGAATTGTCTACATTATCAGGTATCTATCTATGTATTATGTTAAACCAGTATCCACATGAAAAAATAAAACTTTTAGATCTTTGAGTCCCCCGATATATGGACTAATAAATAGTAGTAGCCATACAAATTTGCAGAAGCATCAAACAATTAAACTCTGGAAAACATGTAGGCATTTCTTCTAGATGTAGGCATAAAATCGGTGTTGTTCACCGTTAACAGTAGCATGATTAAATTTACTGGATTTCTAACTGTGATGCAACTGATTTGGATTTCAGATAGGGCTTTCTCTAGTACACAACATGTAATTCTTATTCCATGTTGTACTGTCTATAACTTTTAAAAGGCAATCGCTAAGCATAATGAATAGCTATAATTCGAGAAAGAATAGTGAAACAACAACTAAAAATGATGAAATTACCGATTTCCTCTAATGAATAGCTCGTGATCGCTTCGATCACTCAATGAAGACGACGCTTCGTTGTCAGCTGACTCGGCTTCGTCTTGTTGTCTAGTAGCTTCTGGATCAAATAGGAAGTATTCATACTCGTCAGTGACCTCGTCGGCAGGTTTTCCGTCGAGAGCTTCAGCGATAAGACCGAATGGCTTGAACTCTCCAAGAATAGTGAGGTGTCGGACCCCGATTGATGACATTGTCTCCTTTGCAATCAAAGTGTTCGATGAATTGCTTGAAAGAAAGGGGTTTCGTTTAAAATTAGGGTCTATGCTCCCGTCTCCCGCCCTTTTTTGTGTTTTCTAGTAAGAACGGGCTGAAACCAGTAAAACCCTAGCCCAGCTCCACTGACTTCAGGAGTGAGCACCTTTGTGATGGAATTCTTCACATGGACGTTTTTTTTTTTAAATTGATTCGTATAACTATTAAATTTACTGGGACATTCACAATCCATTAAACTTTAAGTAAAATTTTAATAGATAGCCATTATTAATAAAGAAATCAATGAGTCAATCTAAAACGTCGAAATTTAAAGCGATCAACGGCAAAAGAAAGGGTTGTACACTTTTACAATTGACGCACATGCACCGGATTATAACAAAACCCACTTCCTTTTTTTCGTTTAAAATTTTTTTTAGACCATATTTTTTATTGAAAAAAAAAACCGAATATACCGTTGTTCACGATTTTTCATTCTCTTTCCATAGAGATCCATGATAATATATAAAAAACGAACTTTTTTTTTTCGAAAAAAATTCACTTCATTTTCTTTGTTGAAAAGTTAAAGTCTATTTTTTTATAGAAAAAAATAATAAATATATCAAAATTCATACTTTTTGGTATTTTTTAAACATAGATTCATATTCATGTTAAAAAAAACGATATTTCAGTTCAGATTCATATTGTGAACCTGTTCAGATTCACATTGTGAACCTTCTCAGATTCATAGTGTGCATAATAGTAAGTCAGATTCACAATGTGAATCTGAACTGATCGAGCTTTTTCACATTGTGAATGCTAAAAATTGAAATATTTACAGTTTAGATTCACAGTGTGAATCTACACTGATCGAGGTTTTTTTTAGTCGGTGTTTATGTTTATTAATAGAGTACAAAAAATTAATATTTTTGGTATAATTAATTTTTTTTTGTTAAAAATAAACTTAAATATTGAAAAAAAACTAACAAAATGAAGTGGGTTTTTTTTCGAAAAAATAAAAAAAGTTCGTTTTTTATATATCAACATGGATCTCTATGGAAAGAGAACGAAAAATCGAGAACAACGGTATATCCGGTTTTTTTCGATAAAAAATGTGGTCTAAAAAAAATTTTAACGAAAAAAAGAGGTGGATTTTTTGGTAAGGAGGTGAATTTTTTGGTATAATCTGGTGTGTGTGCGTCCAATGTACAAGTATACATCTATTTCCTTGGTCGTTGATCATTATGATTTTCGACGCTCACGATTGGTTCCATGGTTCCTTGTTAATTATGGTTCTCTATTGAACTCCACCCTTAAACATTATACATCATTCTGTAACATCCCAAGTTTGTCATTTGTAGTCCATGGGGATGGAAGGGTAAAGCCATGAAGAGCCTAAGAGCTAAATTATAATTTTAGGACCAGGAGGAGTATGTTACATGTACACAAGGGTACACTGAGCGTACTAGGGCGCGCCCTAGTACGCTGGGCGTACACTTGTGTACGTTGGGCGTACACTTGTGTACGCTGGGCGTACTCATAACAGAAGGAAACCCTAATATCTCGGGTTGGGGGCTATATAAACATCATTTTCTCTCCTCCTTCTCAGCCTCCATCTTCCAGAAACGTCTCCAAACCCTAGTTCTTGTGTGTGAGAGTGAGTTGGTGGGTATTTTGAGCTCTTGAAGGTGAAGCCATTGCATCAAATAGTTGAAGAAGGAGATTGGCTTGTAGATCTGAAGTTGTGTTGTGCCCTAGAAGCTCCAGGAGGTAAAAAGCTTCAAACTTTATGCTTGTAGGTCATAGATCTAGCCTTTCTAGCATTATGGAACCATCTTTTGTCCCAAAAACCCCATTATGGTGCATGATGTATTTTGGACGAGATAAGTTGTCCTTTCTGGACCTTGAAGAGGTCTTAAGTGATAAAAATGAGGTCCCAATGGCTTAAGATGTCCCATGCATGTAGTAGAAGGGTCTTAATGGATTAAGACCTTGGATTAAGAGCTTTCTGGACGTCCAAAGTGATAAAGTTCGAGACTTTATGAGTCCTAGGCACATTTGGTCACTGGATCTGGAGTTTGGGCTTAAGTGCTTAAGCCATTAAGCACTTATTAGGGTTTTGGTGAAACCCTGCGTACGCCTAGCGTAAGGTTTTGTACGCCCAGCGTACTGAGTCAATGACCCCGTTTTCCAGTCAATGCGAGACTCGTGTACGCCCCGCGTAGCCTTGGGGTACGCCCAACGTACGCCTTCTGTGGACTTTTGGTGATTTGGGCTTTGGGTTTGGGCTACTTTTTGGGCTAGTAGGGTTTGGGCCTTGCTGGACTTTCTGAGTAAATATGTTTTGGACCAATCTTGGTGATAGTGGATCATGGGGTTAAGCCCAATAAGGAAGTTGGGCCCAATTTAGTAAATTGGGCCAATAATGGGCCTTGCATAAAGACTTTCAAGGTTATGGACTTGGAATTGGGCCTTGGCCCAATAAAAGAGAATGGACATAATGGATTGAGTGGACCCTTAGCCAAGACTGTTATGTTGTGTATTGACTCGGCATATATTATGTAATAGTTCGGGTCTTCCAGTGAGACAACGATTAGAGGTTTTTGGTGCAGCAACACTACTTACGAGGTGAGTTATCCTCACTATATCAACAGGGTCTAAGGCACCAAGGCCGGCCCTTTCTCGGATTGTATACTGGTTTGTTGGATATGTTTATTGATCTGTTAGATCGGCGTCCTGGTAATTAGGACCGTATTATGTTTAGTAACCTGGTTTAGGTCGGTATCCTGGTATATAGGATGATGCTATGTTAGTGACCAGTTAGGTCGGTATCCTGGTTGTAGGATGTTGCTATGTTATATGATCTGTTAGATCGGTTTGTTTGTCTATAGACAGTTATGTGATTATCTGTTATATGTGCACATGGTTGATTGATTGGGGGTTGGGTTGAGGCGGGTCATGCTTTGTGTTGTAGACCAACATACCCAGGGCGGACCGGATAGGCTGCAGACCCGGGAGGGCACATAGTCAGACCGAAGGCCCGACGAGCGGTTCAGATAGGCTGAAGGCCCCGAGAGGGCGGTCCAGACGTGCCGAGGCTCGGAGAGTGGTCCAGATAGACTAAAGGCCCGGTGTGGGCGGACCAGTCACACTGTAGACTCGATATGCATGGTTGTTATGTATTTGTCGATATGATATGATTACGGTTATATGAGGTTGGTATTTTGGGGGTAACTCACTAAGCCTTCGAGCTTACAGTTTCAGTTTATTGTTTCAGGTTCAGCGGACGACCGCGGGAAGGCGAAGGCGTGACCGTACACTTCCTCGATTGATGATTATGATTTCTGGGAACTCTGATGCTTAACTATTTTGAAAACACTATGTAATAATTAATGGTATTTTGGATATTTAAAAAGTTTTAAATTTGCTTGATTTTATGGATGTTACACATTCATTAAACATTTATACAACACCACCTACAACTCATTAAACACATATTCAATCATAATAATCATTTTGTTATGACAAGAAAATTCTTATAAGTATAAGATATATATCTGTTTGACCTGTTTTAATCTGTTTAATTATCATCGTACAACGAGTGAGATGAAAAACGGGCAACAAGTTACGCTGCTAAGTCTTTTTGTATGGTAAAGCTAATTCTTTTTGTAAGATGGGATAAATGTTCCCCAATGATTTTATTGATTTACTAATCACGCTTATATACAATATTACAAGGAGATATACAAGGTATCTAATAAGTAAATATAGAAAACAAATAAACTAATTTACATAGGTGATTTATTTCCAATACCCCCCTTCAAGCGTACAGGTGGTGGATGAACTCTGAGTTGTTGCCGAAAACTCTCAAAAAGTGGTTGAGGTAACGGTTTGGTGAAGATATCTGCCACTTGAAGCTTGGTTTGAACAAATTTTGTATGCAACTTACCAGACAACACAAGTTCACGAATAAAGTGATGATCAATATCTATATGTTTGCCTCGTTTATGTGCAACAGGATTTTGAATTAAGAAAATAGCACTGAGATTGTCACAAAGTAAAGTCGGTCTAGCAGGAGGTAAGGCATTTAAATCACGTAACAGATGAGTAATCCAGATGAGTTCTGCAGCAGTATTTGCCATAGCCCGATACTCAGATTCACAACTGGACCTAGAGACAATATGTTGTTTTTTAGCACTCCAAGTCACAAGATTTCCTCCAAAAAAAATAGAGTAGCCATAGGTGGAACGCCTAGTCTCAATGCAACGAGTCCAGTCTGCGTCGGAATAACCAATAAGCATAGATTTGGTAGGCACAGAGAAATGAAGACCATGATTAATTGTGCATTTGACATATCGTAAAATTTGTTTGACAAGGGTAAAATGTTGGTCAGTAGAAGAGTGAAGGAGTTTACTCACTTGATTCACCGTATAGGAAATATCAGGCCTAGTGATAGTCATGTATTGAAGAGCTCCAACAAAGGACCGATACTGAGTAGGATCATGAAAGGGAGTGCCAGTAGAGGTGAAAACGTCATTTGTAGCGAGTGGTGTACCTATTGGTTTCACATCAAGGAGACCGGTTTGACTCAAAATATCATGAGAATATTTACTCTGATTTAGAAATAAACCATCAGAGTCATAAGTAACCTCAAGCCCAAGAAAATTGTTCAATTTACCCAAATCTTTTATAGCAAACGCATTCTTTAAGCGAGAGATGAAGCAAGTAATGGAAGGGGTGTGGTTGCCAATCAAAATAATGTCATCAACGTAAACCAAGAGGTACAAGAGACACGATCCTTGATGAAAAACAAAGAGAGATGTATAAGCTTGACTACACTTGAAACCTTGAGCAACTAAGAAGGAACTCAAACGTCGAAACCAAGCTCTTGGGGCTTGACGAAGGCCATACAAGGCTTTGTTGAGGCGACAAACATGTGTTGGATTTTTAGAGTCAACATAAGCTGAGGTTGCTCCATATAAACGGTTTCATGAAGGTCACCATTTAAAAAGACATTTTTAACATCAAGCTGATAAAGAGACCACCTATTTGTGACAGCCAAAGATAAGACAGCGCGACCAATTGTAGCTTTAACCACCGGGCAGAAGGTATGAGAAAAATCAAAACCCGAAATTTGAGTGAAACCTTGGGCTACAAGACGAGCTTTATGACGATC